AAAAAAAAAAGTAAAATCACGTGGCTTCTGTTCTGTCTCAAGTCTCCCATCTAGAGAAAGAGAAAACAGTTCAATTTCCATAAAGCCTCAATATGAATGATACTGAATTCCATGAATTAAGAGGCTCTCCATAATACTTAAAATCGTTCTGTACTGCATTTTATTCTTTTCACAAGATTTTCAAATATATTACCTCCTCACCACAACCCTGTCACACAGGACGGGCGCGTTACAAACGCCAAAACTGAGGCCCAGAGAAATGGAGAGACATGTGGGTCCCATGTCAACATGGTGCACGAGACAGGACAAAATCGACGGCCTACGCGATGAAAAGAACCCACGACATGAGCCCGGACCGGCCCCAAACCCCTGATACCCCGCCCGGGACCCAGGGCGTGGGTCAGGACCAAGAGATGTGATCGGGGGCGGTGGGGGGGGGGTGTGTGTGTGCTCACGGATCCAGAGCAGCGCGCAAGGAAGCCTCCAGGAAGACTTAGGAAATAGTAGAAAGAAAGCAACAGGGGCCTTCTGCACAGCGCAGGGAACTATATTCCGTATCTTGTAATAACGTATAATGGAAAAGAATGTGAAAAAGAAGATGTATGTACAGATGGATAACTGAGTCACTGTGCTGTACACCTGAAACTAACACAACATTGTAAATCAACTGCAGTCCCGTATAAAATAAAAATTAAATTAAAAGAAGATAGTAAGCCATGATGATCCCTTTCCTCATGTTCTCACTGTCTAGGGAAGGAAAGCTCAGGCACAAATCCAGATTCAGTTCAGACCACCTTTTGGGTTATCACGTGTATTGCAACTAAATAAAGAGGCCCTCACCACATATCCCCACAGCAACGCAAAAAAAAGAAATGAAACCTGTGATTTCTGTGTCACGTGTCTTATGTTACAGTCAGTAAAAATGTGAGCGTAGTGGGGCTAATCTGTATTCCTTCCAGAATATCCCCCCGACCCCAGGACAACCTCATTAGAAACGCTAGAGTTGTGGGAGCTGGCAGCGGAGGCTCCTCTGGGAGGGAAGAGTGAATCCTCGGTCACAGCAAGGGTGAGAACAGTGCATCTTCCATGTGTGGTCCTTAACGCAGGGGTGAACTCCTCATCCGTGTCGGAATTACCTTCCTGTTATAGTTTCCAGTGTGTTCTTTGCTGTTCGTGCATCTCGGCGTAGGACCTGCTGTCCTCAGACTGTCCTACCTTGGTCTGTGTGGGCGGAGCGCAAAGCCACAAGCCCAGGAGATGAGCATCAGACGCCACTGGATAACAATGGTAAGTGGATTAAACCACACTTATATAATACTAACCCTGGAACAGGTGACTTAACGTTGTTCTAACAGAACCATTTGGATTAGCACTAACTAGGCCCTGTGGCCTCAGATATTCAGGACTGGAGAGGCGCAGGGGTGGGGTCTCTCCTTCCCAGCATTTACACAGCCACCTACCAAGCGGCTGAGATGCTCTCCTTTACCCCTCACATCCCAAGCGACACACATGCTTACTTGCTTCGTCTAACTGGTCCCAAATAAGACACTGCCTAACCGGTGACCTCTTCCACCTCCCTCCTGCATACACATTTGAGGTGGAAACTGGTCCACTAAATTACCAGAGACATTAAAAAACACACCTTAAGATAAAACTTTAAACTTGAACCAGACATGCAGTTCAAGAAGTCAGTGGGGGGCTTCTCTGGTGGCATAGTGGTTGAGAGTCCGCCTGCCGATGCAGGGGACACGGGTTCGGGCCCCGGTCCGGGAAGAGCCCACATACCCCGGAGCGGCTGGGCCTGTGAGCCATGGCCGCTGAGCCTGGGCATCTGGAGCCTGTGCTCTGCAACAGGAGAGGCCACAACGGTGAGAGGCCCATGTACCGCAAAAAAAAAAAAAAAAGAAGTCAGTGTGCACACCTTGGCTTTTAAAGGTTCCTAAAAGAACATGCTGCCCTGAGATGAAAGGGAACCAAGAACCCAATTCTACTTGTTTGAGCCGCCAGACAAAAACCTCATTTTGTTCTCGTTTATCCTTCTGGAAAAAAGAGTTATATCACACACACATATATGTGTGTGTATGTGTATGTATATATCAATTAGTTAAAAGTGAAAGCACTGTGAAGACCAGCAAATAGAGAATTCTCTCAAATTTCAAGACCACGATGCAACTTTATAACTTTAAAGCTTACACTTCACAAATACCATAATCGCAGAGTGTCCCATCTCCTTCTTCCAAACTCGAAAATTCAATCTCTTCTGATTCTTTTTCTGTTTTCCTAGCAAGCTCTTTCCTCAAAGCTATGAAAAGGGCTTCTTGTCGAAATCCTGAAAAACTACACTTAAGAAGGAATCCCAACTGTGATGACTCTTTGCAGGTGGAACGCTGGGAAGCACGAATATCTGAAAATGACCTGTGAGGTAAGCTACTTACACCAGGCCTCAAAGTTCCTCTCTAATCAAGTCCAGTGAGTGCGAACTGGAGGGACGAGAGGACGGTGGGGAAGTTGGGGAGGTGACAGGGCCGGGCACAGGGCGAGCAGAGCACCGTCCAGGGCACGACTGCAGAGAAGTGGGGAAGGGCTTAAGATGACTAGTGGAAGTCCACCACTGAGAGGAAAGAGAGAGAAGAGCTCTGAAACAAAAAGATGTATATATAAACTGGATCTTATTTTTACTTAGGCTTTTCCCCAAAATGTACAGTGATCTCTGCTACAAAACCGCCCAAAAGCCAGCCTAAATCTTCCTTTCATTCTCGAGATCTACAAGGTACTGCCTGTACTTAAAGGCACTAAAGAATACAAAATCAGGGACTTCCCAGGCGGTCCAGTGGTTAAGACTCCGCACTTCCACAGGTTCCATCCCTGGTCAGGGAACTAAGATCCCGCATGCCGTGCGATGTGGCCAAAGGGGGGAAAAAGAAGACAAATTTCTCAGACACAATTTAAAAGAATACAAATTCACGTTAGGCGTGCTAGAGGTTCAACCTAAGGGTTGCACCTTAACTTCCGAAAATCTATTCAGCTACAAAGTGCCCAAGGGCAGCTCATTGCCTGTCTGAGGTACCCCTTCCCCCCAAAGCACATGCGAGCTCCTATTTCGTTAAATCTGGATAGATGTGAAGTGCGAGGTCATCATTCTGTAGGGCGAGAGAAGGAAATTTTCCAGGAGGCTCTCCCAGGAAGGCTGCACAGCATCTGAGAGTTCAGCCAGGTGAGGAGAGCAGGAAGAAAGGCTCGCCCGGGTGCCCGTGGTCGACGTGGTGTGTCACGGTTGACTTGGCCCTCATCTTCCTGAGTCTTTGCTGCATTTCTTTTCCCAAGGGGAACCTTAGCAGGGACACTGCTGAAGGGCCCTGAGACCTCCAACTTTCTCCTGGGCAACTATCTCCTTGCAGAAAATCCTAATGAGGTCAACAAAAACAAACCTCCAAAACCATTCCCTCGCCCAATATTGTGTTCTTCCCTAGACACCAACAGGAAGTCAGAACACTACACTGAAAATGTTCCCACAAAGTTAGAATCAGTTTCCCTAATATGGCCAGGCCCTAAATATAGCCACAGTTTTTTTGTTCAAAAGACACTCCCTTACAGTTGTAGATGGAGGAAACGGTGGTGGGAAAGTGAGCAGTAGAACACAGGAAACCACGACCGTGCATTTAGAGGGCTCTTGTGTCCTTGACAAGGGCTGCCCCAGCAAACACACCTGGAACACATGCCCTGTCCTCTCCAGGCTTTGTTCCCTCCACCGAGTCTGGGTTACCAGGAGGGAAGAGGAGAAATTACACACCCTGGGCCAGAAGTAATTCTACCGAGTTTTGAGAAGCAACACAGCATCACTAGTACCCAAAGCAGTGAAAGGAGTAGAATTCCCTGCTTGACTTGTAACGATTCAGTTCACCTACAGAACACGCGGGAATTTAACGAAGGTGTGTCAAGTCTTCACAACTTACCTTCCAAATAACAACACACACCCCCACACACCTACGGTCACAAAAGACTGGTAACGTTCACGTAAATGCCGTGAGGGGCTTTGGGCGCTTTCAGCGAATGGGATTTACGCAGAGCAAAATCTAGAACACAAAACTTGGCCCAAAATGCAGTCAAAGTTCCGCCTGAAACTTTTGAAAGGTTAAGTACCCTGGGTCTACACTTCAATTATAAACTCCTTCTGCAAGACATTTTAGCCAAAAAAAGCACCCAGCAGAGTGTCCAAGTTGGAAGTAGATGCTCAGTAAAACACCTGCTGGGAAAAAACTGTTACAGGGAAGTAAATGAACTTCTCAACACAAGCGTGCTGAAAGGCAATACAGGCCGTTTTAAGGCCCCGTGTTAAAGTTAGCCCGGGAGGGCGGACGGGCCTAGAGCGTTCAGGCTGGACTGTGCGCTCAAAGCGCGCAGGTCAAATGCAGGGTCTGTCGCCCCCATCTGCGGGTCGCGCTCTCTGCGACTTAACGTTCTCTCGGCCGTGAAAGGGGGATCGGATCACACCCGGCGCCCAAGGCTGCCGGGCGACCAACCGGGAGAAAGCAACCGAAGGCACCCAGGATGCCAGCGCGCCGCCCGCGTGCGCGGCGCGTCTCCGGAGGCGCGTAACGGGGGTCAGTCCGTGCGCACACGCACCAGCTTCGCTGCGCGGGCACCTCGGGCCCCGCACACGCCCCGCGCAGCCGGCGCCCCGCGGCGGGGAAGCGACTCGCTGCCAGGCACGCATCCGAGAGCCGGTCCCACGGCGAGGGAGGAGGCGGTGCCGCGCTCGCGCCACGGCGTCTCCCACACAATAGGCTGCAGCGGCGCCCCAGGCCCCCCACGACCCGCGACCCCCGGGCCCGCGGCGGGTACCCCCGGAGCCCCGGCACCTCCAAGCGGGTGGGGGTGGGGCGCCGCGCGGCGCCTGACTGGGGCCCACGGTGCCGGGTCGGCGGCGGCGGCGGCGTGCCGGGCAGGCCCCTCCCCTCGCCCCTTCCCGCTCCGAGCCCCTCCATCCCGCGGCCCCTCACCTGAAGGCCGGCCCCTCCCGGGGCGCCCGGCCCGGGGCCGCCGCCGCCGCCGCCGCCGCCGCGGAGCCGCCGCCGCCCTTCCTGTTGAAGAGCCTCTGCAGC